TAATAATAATAATAATAATAATAATAATAATAATAATAATAATAATATAATGATAATAATAATAATAATAATAATAATAATAATGATCATGATAATAATAATAGTAATAATATTAATTGTAATTACAATAATAATAATAATAATTGTAATTATAATAATGATAATAATAACCAACATGTTTTTCGGTTCGCACGATAAACACGCGCGATCTAGGACGCGAAACATACAGTATCATGATAACACGTAAACGGTACAATGTATAGATCTACGATCTTATAGTAAAATAATGTTTCATCTTAGAGTTATTGTTACAAGTGTTTGGCATTTTCGCGCGCGTTTCAGCGACTCCCGTCGTGTACAAGCTCTGACGAAGCGAAAACGGTCCCGCGCCGGAGCCGGTGTACCGCATCACTATTGGCGCGGACGCGCGTGTGTTTCTAGACTCCGACCGCAGTTACGGCGCAACTAGAGCTCCGTGCGTTACGGTCGTCCGATGGTCGTGCGGTACCGGATTTCTAGCAGTTTTTCGAGACAGGCGCGTGAAAAAAAAAAAAAACGGAAGTATTTTTTCAATGGAAGTAATTTTTCAACGGAAATAATCGAAAACCGAACGCAAAGGCTTTACAGACAATCGAGAACGAGTCACGCGGACGAATACGTCGTAACATCTATCTCGTCCGTTTTACACGTTCCGCGCGGTGTACGCATGCCGTAACATTTCGATTCTGTTTTTTTTTTCTACAAAATAACATGAATCCGGACACAAGTGTTTCCGGCTGGCCACTGAAGTTCCGTTTAGGCGATACGGTCTTGACGACGAGATAATATAACAAAACCGAAACGTACGTCGCGGCGCACCCGACGGACGACTTGAACGCAGTTCCCGCGGAAGCATTACGGTCGAAGTGTACCTAATCGTTGTACAAACGTATCCTACTCGCGCACGCTTAAATTTGTGTCTGTGATTTTTGTGCGAATACACCTTCTTAAATACGTCTTAAATACCGTATTCATTACGGTACGGTACCTTTAAAGTGATAAGCTTATGTCTTAATAGTATATAATTAATATTCATTTTTTTATTTACCTATGCTACGAATTCCTAGTAAGATTAATAAATATTCGCGCTGCGGTCATATTATATAGCACATGAGGTTTTTTTTTTTTTTTAACACCAAACGACAAAGCGGTACACCTACTGTTAAATCTACTTTTTCCAATGATATGTACAATATTATAATAACATGTACTATATTATGATATAACATATTAATTATGTAACACTTTAGCCAAATAAAAAAAAAAAAATTTACACGTGCACGAAATATCTTCGTTAATCTGTATAGCGTACAATATTATCTACGCGTCGTTGAGTATAAATCGAATTGCATTGGTCGATGGGATGTGGGGCGGGGGATGGACAATGTAATTATTAAAGCAAATTCCCGGTTTGGAAAACGGATTGAAGGTAATCGTAATAAAGAATAACGAGTAACACTATTTGTTTCTGTCGTTAAGGACTAGGATCGAAAACAATATTATATTCTGTAATGGGCTATACCACCGTTTGCCCTGGCCGTAGACGCATAGCGCGAACCAGGGTCGAGAAGGCGTCGGCTGTTTTTTGAAAAATGCATTATGAACCTCTTGGTCCTGTTTTAAATATCATATCGGGATTGACTCGTTTCGTGCAAAACGTGTTCGGTGCGGACAGCGTAAAACGATTGATCATCGTATATTGGTATTTTATAGCGTTTCAGAAATAAAAGGAGCAGGAGCAGTGGTGCCAAATACACCAGTGAAGTTTTGGAGTGAAAATCAAACATCTAGCCCGGACACCCACCCAAGAAACCGTGTAAAAGTGAGGGTAACAAACGTTATACCACCACCACAATTGTTCGTCGGGCGTACGTTCTGCACAAGCATCAGTTGGACGTCCCCGAACGGGAATTACGATCGCAGTACGATCATGTCGAACGCGGACATTTCAAATATACATCCGATTAAACATCGGCAATCGGATCAAAACACACAAGGACCGATACAGTGTTGAATACTTAACGGCACTCTTACACCTTACTCCACACTGCAGTAAATCATTGGCCCTCGGAAAGGTCAACATTTTTAAACGGTCGAGAGATCTTCGGGAACGTTCGACTTCCTCGTCGACGCCAGGGTGGGCTCCGATGTGTCGGGGCCGTCCACAAGGTTGCTAGATCACAAGTCGTCGCCGCGGATACGGCACGTCATGCGTACAGAGCGTTTTCGGCGACACGAACCTGCACTGATGTGCGTAGAGAAGTTAACGATACATTTGGCGGGTATACACAATGTCCGTGCAACGACAACGCAAACCGACGATGGCAAGTAAACCGTCGGCAGCCCGTACGCTTATAATAATATATTTTTTTATGTGCATATCATACAGACAGTTGTATTGATAATAATTATAATAATAATAATAATAATAATAATGTGTTATGTACAATAAATTGGAAGTTAAATCGGAGGGACGGGAGATGGAGTAGGAAAAAACACACAACGAACCGATGAGAGGAAAAACAAATTTACAAATAAACGTTCGACGACTTCGGCGGTCATTGTGCGCGAGACGATGTGCATGCACCGAGTACACGTTCCTGGCCGTTATCCGTGTGGAGTCGTCGTCCGCCGGCCGTGGATACGCGTCCGAGTTTCATTGCCGCTCTACAAGTAAACTCGACGCAGATGTGACGGCAGCGTTATCACGTAACATTGCGGACACAATTTTTTAGCACCCTGCGCACGGACAGAAAACCAAAACCATTAATTACACGCCGGTACGAACAACATTACCATACAACATTCGAAACGAATCGCAATCCGTGTGTTCCACACGGGACCGCGTTCGCGCGAACCGTTATGGTCGTAATGACATTACTGTGTTACTCACCAGTATCTGAAGCCAACAGACTTCGCAGTACACGTGCCAGCACGAGGTCGACACGACGGGATCTTTGAAATTTCCCTGCGAACAACAAACGGAAATCAATGACATTTGAAAATACTGTTCGCGTACATGGTTATCACTAGGCTTAGAGACTTCTAGCATTTGCATACTTTTTTTAATTATTGTTAAATATAGCAGAGTGCGAAATAAATTCGTTTCTCGGTGCCATAGATATCAGATCTAAAATTTGAATGTGCATATTTTTGCACGTTTGATAGATTTTGCAGTAGGATGCATATTTTAAAATTGTTACGCTTATTTTGCATATTTAGACAAATTTTTCAAATTTTATTATTATTATTATTATTATTATTATTATTAAAATTAAAAACTATTGATACATATAACGTATATACATATTTCAACCGATCGAAAAAAAAATGTACTAAGAGGACTTAATACTTCCAGTAATATGCTATCTGCAAACTACCTCTCATATTTCGTTATAATTTTTGTGCAATTTTTGTCAATAATACTATAAACCTGTATCGACCGTATAACCCGCTGGATATCGATCGGATGTCGATATAGAATAATAGATTATTTGTTTAGTGTTCAGTTCAGTCGATTATTATCGGTCGTTATTTTTGCGTCTCGCAACTACATAACGTCGAATCATACGTAAAACGTTGTATGCGTATATTTTGTAACATTGTGTAATGCCGAAAGTACAACACTCTACGAGTAGCCGACTACAAAATTTTGTTTCAGAGTTAAAAGATATATTTACATCCGATGAACACGTTTTATTTTGTGTACTATGTGGTCTTTTTTTTTTTTTTTTTAATGCATATAACTGCATATTATTACGTATATTTTAATGGTTTTAGAATCATATTTGCATGCATATTTGTGTATTTTTTAGAGCTATAAGTCCATAAGCCTAGTTATCACAAATGGCCCGTATTAAAAGTGAAAAAATTAGAACGTTAAAGTCGAACGATCCGGTATGTCCAGTATTTTAAATACGAGAGACAACGGTAGGAAAAAATCATTTCTCTCATATATACAATCGATGAAAACACCTCGATATTTTTAACGTTATTTAAACTTGAGTTTTTATTCTTAGCGTTTCAAGTCAAAACTGAGTACCGTAATTTGATTAGCAGAGAGGGATTTGTACGACTAAAAATGTATGACTATTATGGACGAAGAATAACAATATTAATATTATAGTATACTGAAACGTCCCGTGGATTATATCGCGTAACCGGACATATAAAATACTATAAGGATTATAGTTTTTGAAAAAGTTTAAAATGTGATTAGAATCGTTCTCAGGATATTATGAGTTGTACGTTAAATGAAAGATTGGTTTTATTTGGTTTTAATTGGAATAAACGGCGCTGTGCGTAATTCCGGTACAGAACTTACTTTGCACAAAAGACACGTGAACTTGTCGCAGCCGGTTTTGGATACCAACTCCAGTTCTCGAATCCGGGCCTTAAGCGCTTCGACGACTTGACCGTTGTTGTTGAACTGACCGCAGTACTTTTCAATGTCCATTTTGGGCTTGATAGTCCCCTCTTCCTGCGTGTTTTCTTTTTTTATCGACACGTCCAACGGTCCGACGTTTTCGCTCGCGTCCATTGTGTCCATCGCGCTCGAATCGTTTTGCCTGTTCACCGAACAAAATTTATTAATATGATTTTAGTAGCGTGTCGTTTATCGGTAAACCTATTATCGTTACGTCAACACTGACTAATGACGGTATTGTTGTTTACGGTGACCGCGCGGAATACGGCAACGTGCTCAACGACGTGAAGTCAATAGTTCGCGGCGCGTGGAAAAAACGTGCGCGTCTCGAAACGAGCTTTCGCAGAACAATAAGAAAAGCGACGAGGACATCTCCTCGAGCCCGCGGTCAATAGCTGAAATTCGGTGGTTTTAAACTTGACCGAAATGTTCGATCGTAAGAGTTAATTGTTTTCACCTCAAGTCCCGTGCTCCGTGCCTGATCGTTTTACATGCGGAACATCAAAAAGATTCAGTGTGAACGCATAAAAGCTGTTGGCGTTTTATTGAGAGAAAAGTCAAATTAAATCTTGTCCCCCGAACTATATCGATAACGGGCGTGCAACAACACTGTTGTTCACATCCTGCCGACTCCACTCCTTCCCCACGCAGCATGATAGGAGACACGCGTGTCAGCGCGTAAAAGAATGCGGTCGGGACGCGATTTCATTATACCATCCGTAAGAGTACGAACACGCAGTGACGGTGCTAGAGTTTGCGAGGCCCTGGGCAAAATAAATGTTGGGTCTTATAATTTATATTAATAAAATATTTTAAGTTCAGTTAAATCAAAACCGCGGGGCCTTGATTATAATTTAAGGTGCGGGGCCCTGAGCAACTGCTCCTATTTCCCACCCCCTCGCGCCGTCCCTGCGAACACGTGGTCGGAGGCTTAAACGGTATGCTTACTCGGCTGGTGTAAGTCGACGGCTCTCCGAAGAAGCGGTAGGAGGACGTGACGGGACGATAATGTCTCGTTCGGCGTACTGGTTGGGGCCGTACTTGTTGTACAAACCGCTGGGGCCATCGCTATCGTCAACCACCAGCACTGCTTCATCGGCTCCGGTCGAATCGTCTCCGGCCGACTGTCTTGGCGGTGGCGCGTTACTGGTACTGCAGTTGATCGCCATCGGCACTGGTCCACCACCTGTGCGTTGGTACAAAAAAGTAAACATTTTAGTGTGAAATTTGAGAAATGTTCGAAACTGATAAGTTCCGAGCGCGTGAAAATGCAGTCGGTGTTCTCGTCACGTTAGTCGGATTGAATTTAGAACAATGGATATTAAAGCATGATGAACTCTGCTGCAGTTGTTTGCCATAGAAGTTTAACGTGCGTTAGTAAAGAAACTACAGAGTGAAAACACGTACGAGTATTATCGCCTACACGTAATAGAGGTGCCATACGCGTAAAATAAATCTGTGCCGTGTGTATTATTAAACGTGTTTAAATCGTGCTTGTAAGCGTTCGGGACGTATAACAACAGCGACCGACATAAGTTTCAATAATATTATACGTTTTAAATATAAGTGAGACGCGACCTGTGCGGGAAGAAGATGGAAGAAAATATTGCAGTTTCGGCCGTCGTGAAACGCATACCCTCTGAGTATAGGGTAGAGATTTAAATGCGCGTGTGAATGAATGGATACAACGAACGGATCAACTTCGCAATATCACTTTAAGTGTATTTCGAGTGTGTAATAATACGAGTAATATCATGATAGTATATATATATATATATACATTTGATGAGTACATGTTTGTCACCGTAAACGTGAAGTGTTATAATTTATTTTCGAGTTGTATGAGTAAAAATACACTTTTTGAGCAGTTGAATATTTGAATACGTTACGCCAACAAATAAATCGTGTGATAATATAATATATTTTTTATGGCACTGCGGGCAGATTTCAGAAAGGAATATCATAACTGCACGCAACAGAATGGTTATTTTGCATTGAAAAATACAATTATATTTTTCTAGTTTAAAACAAAAAATACCTTACTACGAAATTGTAAAGATAATTTTTCCAAGCTCCTTTTTATTAGTAAGTATGGATTAAAATCGAATTACTCGTATGTTTTTTTATTATGCAAGATTGTTATATTTTATTTTATTTTTTATTGCTTTGACTATGAAAACTGGGTCTTACTGAGAAAACTTGTGTGGGAGACCAAGATAAATAATAATAAATCAACTAATTAATTTGGAGAAAAATAGGGTATTTATTTAAATACCATAGGCGCAAGTAACTTCTTACACCTTTAATAATACCTAAACTTACCTGTTAGGGGTATAATACGAGTACATGTATTATTATAGAAAAATCAAGATCTCACGAAATATTGATACATTTTTGTATCCTAACTGAACATAATTGGTATTAATTATATTAATAATTTAAAATTAGTACATTTAGTATTTAAATATTATTAATTCATGTTATTTAAACTTGTTTTAAGAGTGGATATTAATTATTTTGCGAATTTGGAATACTGTAAGAAACATTAATCATAAAATTAATTAAATTTGAATTTAAGTATAAAAATAATAATTTTTTTAAACCATAAAAAAACTATAGAAATGTTTTCATTAAAAAAATCGAGTTTATGTATTTTTAAGTGCTTAAATTTACATCCAAGTTATAAAAAATTGTTAAATGTTGTCTATATATTTAATATTATAATAGTAAAATTTTTGTATTACGTTTTGAATTCCAGCATTTTCTTGCTATTATACTTGCATGATGTTTATTCATTTTTTTAATGGTTCGTTAAAATTACTGTGAAGTTTCACAAAAATGGCTATCACCTAAAACTGACAGATGGCGAAATAGGAGGTGTGATGTAATTTGATAATTTTTAAGTGTTATCACTATTTTACCTACGTACATTAAAACAATTAATACATTAATACAACATCGCCATGCCATGTTGGGTCAATTTTGAAGTATAATTGGAATAAAATGTACGGCTTAGTATGCATATGAAAAAAATCTGGATACATTTTGGGTTTCAGCATAAAATTTACGTTTTTTTTTCAATTTATTTTCGATCTAACCTATTGTGTGTGATTCAAAATAGTAAACCATTATGCCTGAAACCATCAGGCATTTTTAATGTACTATATTCATACTTTGTTTTTAACTTGTGAATTTTGGCAATAATAAAAAAAAAAAAACATCCTAATAAGACGATTTGTAAAAGAAAAAAAAATATATTCAGATTTAGTTTTAACTATTTTAATTGGTATACGGAATTAACTATATAGATATAACCCAGTAAAGGAAACGACACCATGAATATTAAATAAGAATTGTCAAATAATTTTTATTTTTATACAATTTGAAAATAATTTATTATATCTGATATCGGAATTTTCGATACAGTATAGATTTCAAGTAAAAACAAAAATCGATGCCAATATAAAAATTTAAAACAAGTCAATCAGGCAATAAAACACAACACTAATAGCACATCAGACGACTATTGACGTTATCGAGAGCTGCAGTTCAACATATTATGTATTAACGGCTAAGCGGTAACTTGCACTTAACGACTGGTAAAAAGGTAAGTAAGAGAACATATAGTACTTATTATATAGCATACAATATTGTAAAAATCGTAAATCGTGCTTAACATGTTAAGAAAGAATTGCCGAAAGATTATATTATTAATTCTTCCTTAAAAAACCATATGGCCATCGTGGCCAGGTATGGCTTTTGTATCGAATAATAATAAAAAATCACTTGGCAAACTAACCTCTGTTGAACGCGCTGCCGTGCAGAATCATCGGCTGTTGTCTCATCCTGTTGTGTTGCTGCCATCCGCTGCTGCCGCCCCCGTAGACAATATCATACATAGTCGTCTCGGTGTCACCTTCCACATCAATGTTTTCGTCTTCGTCGTCGTTTCCCACAGATGTCACTGTCACCGTGGCCGGGTGACCCTGTTGGAATAATAATTTCGCGTAAGAATAGTGCGTGGTACGCCGTAGTGAATGTAAACAGTTGATGGAAAAATAGACTTGTCCGGGTCAAAGACATATAAAAGTATGTAAATATTAAATTGATAAAAGGCGTTTACAACGTTCAGTGAGAACTAAACCGATTCTCAGAAATATTATTACGAATGTTTAGATGTGTGCAGTCATGTCCCAGCAGAGAGAAGCTTACACAGTCCGTTTATCCGCATAGATCGCAGTTTAACGATGATGTCAAGAGCACGTGGACCTGAAATTGGATTTCGAGATCGATTGTAATTTTCTCGCGAACACGTCCATCTGTACTGTACTATTTGATTATACACCTTTGGGTAGTTCAATTGCATTCCTTATTGTATTGATTGCGAGCGAAGTTAGAAAAATTTCACAGTACAAGATTTGTAAATAGGAATAGACAAGAGTGTCCACGTTTGTACACGGATATATTGGCATGTAGAGCGATACATTGCATTTTACACGCAACATAAACGGATAAATTAACCATTACCCTTACAACGATTTAAAAGCCGTGCAGTAAATTCATAGTAAAACCATTTAGTAAATCAATTGCCGGGCAGATGTGGCAGGTTTCTAAAGGGAAATCGCCGGCGGCGGCGACCATTCGAGAATTTGAAATGCTTATCAGAAAATCGAAATTTACCGTCGTACATTTTCGATTTAAAATTATCATCATTTTTATGCGATACTTATATACATAAACCCAAGCAAATAATATTACACATCATAACTATTTATAATCAAAACATGTTTAATGTATCGATAATATTCTCAATAAGGAAAGGCAACTAATATAACTATAACCAAGAGAGTCGCTTGTTTTACTTTTGTTTTTAAATCACATTTTTATAGAAAATTATTTATTTTAATAATGGGTAGTCGGTTTATTTAGATTTTATTTAGGATTTCGAGTTGAGGAAAAAGGCAAAAAACCGTCATGTAATAACGAAACAGTCTTTACAGTCGGTTACCAACCTTGTTTCTGAGACACATTTCCACATGCGCGTTCATCTGTTCCTGAGATGCCGCGGCTACGGGCTCGTTGCAAACAGGGCAGCAGCACGTTGTCGGCGTTGGCGTCAGCAGCATTTCATCAGGTTTTCGTTTCCGGTTTTTAATTCGCAATCGGTTGTGTCTGTTAGCCTTTACTTTTTGATAAGTCTGCCAATGTAAAAAAAAACAATATAGAATTTATAGAATTACGAAAAGTGGAAGAAAAAATCAAAGGGAAGTCGATGGGAAAACATGTCAATTAAATTGAAGTACTTTTTTTATTACAGTTCGACAAATGCGGAAGTAGTTCACCGCACCTTCCCCCAACCAACGAAATTGCATAATTGTCGAGAATATTTTGTCGATCGCCATCGATGAAACGATGGAGGGTTCTAGGCACTCGGTCTCGTTCATATTGGATACAATTCGGTATTAAACTAGGTGTGGTGCGAGTATAAGAGGAGGGGAGGACTAGAAGAAGATCAAATTAACACTATGAATAATGAAACCTATGATTTCGAACACTTTTATGTTCTCAAACTAAAGAATTCTTATATATTTATATCCATTTAATACGCTTTTATGTACTCTCAAGCAAAATACTGTTTTAGAGAGGTTTCACTGTAAATTTGAATTCGATACACACTCATAATACGTATATAGAAATATAATAATAATATGACAGTATTTTTTTTTTTTTTTTTAGAGCAGTTTTACGGCAAAATTAATTCCATAGCGTCATTTTCAGATAAAACCCATCTAATGATATTAGGCTAGGTTTATAGGAATAATCAAAGGTGTATAGTATAATATGGATTTGTTACGCTTTTTACAGAATGGAAAAAAGAAAATAGTGCAAGACAGATTTTTTTCGGACTGTACGCCGTCATTGGTTTACCAATATGATCAAACTAATCGATAAAAAACATAAAAACCACCAGATTCGGTATTTAGAGAAAAAAAATCAATATATCAATATTTATACGTAATAGTTTTTAATAAAAATACAACAAATAGGACCAAACGATTTCTGCTTAAAATATTTTTCAATAAATACGCGGCAATATTTCGATTCCATCGATAATCATGTTAAAAATATATTTTTACCATTTATCATAAGATTTTCACCTTTATTGAGGAGATTTTTAGATACTTCAAACAAAATCTTCGGTGTTGCAATATAAATCGAAGAAACAAAAAAAAAAGTAAAAGTTTCGTACACGAATAATAATTTTTACTGAAATGCATATTTTCTTATGGAGCCATAGACCGCTGTACGAAAATCGCTAATAACGTTTGATAATGTTTGATATTTTACCGCCCTTTGGCGAAAACCAAATAACATTGCTTTCGAAAACATTTTCTTGACCGGTTTTTTTAAATATTACGCCACACTCCCGACGAAGACTTTAAGTATTATTATTATTATTATTATTATTGTTAATCATTTAATAACAAAATAATCATTATAAAAACGAAAGTGTATTTACGGAAACATTGACACGTGTAGCGCACACGCAATAGAATCGAGTAAAACCAACTGTTTCCCCAACGATGATTCGATTAATTTGACGGACATTTGTGTGACATTCGGTGTGACGATCAGGACAACATTTTGGAAAGAGCCCCCAGCGAATGAAAGGTTATATCCAAGTGAATCATTATTTTTTACGTGATAAATCATCATAATTATTATTATTGTAACGTGCTTACCTCCCATCGGCCGTGCAACGAGCCGTCCCTGCCACTGCCGCCGGCGATCGGCGACAAGCGGCCGGTCCCGTCCCGACCGCAGCCCATAAGACTGTGATGAAGGTGACCGTCGCCAGGCTTGTCCGGCGTGCCCCTCCTGTGCCGTCGACCGGCCGCGGCCGCTTGCTTGTACAGCCGTTCCAGTTCCCACACGAAATGCGACTCGAGCTCGTGGGCCGTGCGGAGCGCGGTGCCGCACACTGGACAACATCCCGCGGACGCCGCCGACTGCTGCTGCTGCTGTTGCTGGCTCGCGGCCGAAGTCTGTTGCTGCTGCTGTTTGATGGATCCGTTGTTGTTATTATTGTTGTTATTGTTGTTGTTGTTGTTGTTGGTCGTCGGGGCCGGGCCACCGTTGGCCACCACGGACGTGTTGGCCGGCGGCGACGGTTTCTTCCCTGCGGAACAACCAAAAATGTCGTTAAAATCGAAATAAGGTGGCCTGACGGTCGGCGGCATCAAACGCAGCTGCGGCGGCGGCGGCGGCGGTTGCTGCTGCTGCTGCTGCTGCGTCGGCTGCTGCTGCTGACGTGCAGTGAAATCGGTCATCGTGCGGCCGACACTGACGGCGACTAACTGACTCCCCGGGCGCGGTGCGTGCCGACGACAATACGCTGTTACACGCCCCACTCTCCGACGACGACCCTCGCGCGCGCGACCCTTTGTCGTCGTCGCGGCCGCCGCCGCTGCCGGTATACAGGGTGCGTATCGTATAGCTGCACGTACTCACGCGTACAATTTAGATCGTACGCGCGCAGGGTTGCAGCGGAACGCCACAGTGAAAACGTTGCGCGACGATCGTACCCGTTTCGGACCGCTGAGCGTTTATAGTTCAAAATCGCTGTCCGTCCCGCGGTACTCGTAAAGGCGTCGCGTCCACATTGCCGGGCGAACGCGAACTTGGAGATAAAACCTTATCGTATTCGGACGTGATGTCGAACGCGAACGAACGATTTCGCATGTGATCGATCGGCCAGCGGTTGAATTGACGGACGAGCGGAGTTTTACTAGATGCGCGTTCGTTTGCGTACGCCCCGTACCGCGGACGCGTCACAACGTACGCGTTTACAACCAAACCGACCGACCACGCGTGATGGTAGGGCTGTGTTCAGAGTGTACGCACGCACCGGCTGTTGACGACGAAACTTACCGTGTACGTCTTTGCGCATCGGCCGGGGAGGAAACGACTCGTCGCGCCGCCCCGTTTCGCAGTCATCGCCGTAACGTCGACCGACCGTTGAAACGCGCGTTCGTTTTCGAAAGATATTACGAACTGCTCGGCGTACGGGTTTAATCGTACCACGACCACCGCGCCGTATACATTTACGGTCAGCCGATACGAGCACTCTGTATACGGAACGATTCGTGTGTTACGAGGACGGGTGTGCAGTACACCTATTAAACGCTCCGGTCGACACTTTTCGTCCTGTCGACGGCGACGTGACAATATAACGCGATCGACCATCCCTCCGCTTACCCGTCTGCCTATCGAAAAGTCACACAACGTCCCCATTGTGTTGTCGCACTACGATTTTGATTCTCTTCCCTTCTCCTGTCCAAACCCCCACGTCATGTATACGAGCGCGATTATAATTTTATATTATTTATACACACATATTATACTCGCTCACTCTCTCTTTCTCTCTTTCGTTCACCATTTCTCTCATTCTTCGTACGTACGGGGAGGTAGGCGGTAGGTATGATACACATTTCATACACATAAAAATAAAAAAGGACAGCAAGAAAAGAATAAAACTACAAAGAGCGACCCTTACGTATACATTTATATATATATATTTATATACACGTTCGTGTGTATACGCACTGCGTTACAATGCTAGAGGAGGGAATTCCATCACCGCCGCCTAACCCTCGCAGCCAGTGTGACGCCGATCGGCCAGGTGTGCGTGTGCGTGCGCGCAGTGTATGTCACCGACGTCATCCTCGCAGGTAGGTGCGGTACCCGCCTCACGTATGGTTACTATACGCAGGATTCTCTTTACCGCGTTACCGTCATCACCGCCGCCGACGACGTTTGTGCGGGTATTGTCGGGACCAAGAATTTTTTTTGGAAATCTGCACTGGTGTGCGATCGCATTACCCCGTACCAGATCTCCGCGACCAACGACGGCGGCTGCGACTACGCATTCCGAAATGTAATTGTTTTTTTTTTTTCTTTTTTATCGTTCGGTACCAAAAGACGTCACGTCGATAAACCCTCCACGGCTTCCGGCTACAAGTCTCCCCGGACAACTACATAATACAATGTATAATACACAGTGTACAATAATGTAATTTATTACACCGTAAGCGACCGGTCTAGGGCGGAAGACGGGTATGGTTTTCCGAGAAAAAACCATTTTAGAAAATTTCAATTCTAATTTTAAACTATCAAAAAAATATTTAATTTCAATATTACTATATGAGAGAGAGAAAAAATTAATCAGCAAGTAAAAAACGGGTCCGACAGTGAAATGAATTTTTTTATTGCACTTATTAAAAAATTGTGCGTAAAACGAATACGTATTTCAATCGATGGAACAATGGAACATTTGAATGTTCGAGCGCATTTTTCAAGACGATTTTGAATCGTTTTCTAGAATGTTATAGGAAACCGGTTTTAAATTTTGACTCAGATCTAATGTTCTTTGGTCATATACGATGTTGTCTACGGACGGATATTCGTTGTGAATATTATTACTTTCCTGTGCTCGGTTGTACATATATAGTGAAACGACTGTGCGCGGACGACATGCATCGATCGCTTTTCTTTCGAGATGAAATCGAAGCGAATCTTAGCCGTGTCGGACAATCGTTGATCTCCCTCCCCCAAACTGCTGCGGAACACAATCGTTGAACAGCCGTATACGAACGGTAATACTGCGATGTACCTGGACCGCGGCAGATTACAATAACGTGAATCCCCGGGGTGGCGGGCACGCGGTCTCAGCAAAGTGACTGGCGGTGAATCGACCACGGACTCAATTCCACCCAATGGTCGTCTGCAGTCCGTCTACCGCAACGGCGTGCCGTGACATCGCCGCGGTTTCGAATCCGACTGTGCCGACAACAGGACCGGATCATGGTAATAATATTAGAGAGGGGTGGGTTATTACTTTTAGCGAGGCCCTTTCACCCAAAACAATTTAATTTTTTCATTAAGATTTAGTAATTTGTAATCAATATTAATTAAAATAAGTATATTATATTTGTATACTGTAGTATAGTTACGGTTAATCGATAAAACAGTACTTTATATTTTTGTTAACCAATGATTATAAAACATATTGGGCTCTTTTCAACATGCAGCAAGGGTCTATAGGCGCCCTAGCTCCCCCCTTGATCCATATCCAACAGACAACAACGAAATTCTGCCGCTTATTTATTAATCATCGATCTCTACAAATAGTAATCGGATAAGCGGTACAATGTACGAGGCTTATTGGCAAACAATTAATTATTGTTCGCAAACCACTTTAGTGTATTGAGTTCAACAGTCATTGTTACTAAAATCGACGTCGCTATTTTTTGTCATCATTTTTCGAATCGATATAAGCTTGAAAATACCGCCACTTATTGAAATATGAATTAAACGTGTAATACATCTTCAACATGTACGTATTATGTACGCTGTATTTAAAATCCAATATTTCGAGTATATTATTGTTTAACGATTTTATCAAAAAAAAAAAACTATAAATCAAACATTTAACTATGGATGTCTTGATTTTAGAAAAGCATAATTTTCTCGTGTTATATTTATGGTTTGAGTAAAGTTTGAAAACTGGCAGAGAATTAAAAAATATTTTTTTTTATCAACATTTGAAAATACTTGACCAATATTAATTATTTAACCTCAATGTTTCAAATATATTTGTAAAAATAAAATAAAGGTCAATACTCATATGTTCTGATGCCAACTATAAATAAGTATAAGTAAATCTCGATTCATTTATATTATGTGACATTTAACGGTTAATCAAAACATTTTGATTTTAAATAAAGTAGTTGCAGTATTGATATATTGCTATTATATATTGAACAGATCAATTACATCGAATAGGCTCTTCAATTTTTAGCTGGCATACTATAGTTAGATTTTTGCTGTAGTGATTATCTAAAAATGTTTTGTAACACAAATATTTAATAGCTATGATTTCTTTGAATTGAAACGTACTTTAATAATGAATATCACACGATATAAATGAACGAAAAAACATTGACTAATATAAAACACTTTTGACGCTTAAATTTCAATAATTTTGATTTTACACGATGTTCACGTAAAATATTTTAACTTGACAATAACGTGTGTAAATTTTATCATAACCATGTGATGGGAATATTGTGAAATATGTTGTCATATTTATTGATAATATCAATATAATTAAGTACAGAAGCAAGAATCGTTGTAAATTTAAACATTGTAAAATAATCTGCTGAAAAATGTGCAAAAGTGGCTTAACACGTTTCCCCTTGTGGTTTTCGGATACGGTTTTGCGTATCGTATTTAATTCGTGCGCCGTATAGATTGGTGTAGATGAATTTACAACGGAAGAAATCAATGACGTTTTCCCGTTCTCCCGCAGATAAAAGTTTCAAATTTCGACCGCGACCCTTTATTTTATTTTTTATTTACTCGACACACGACTACTAGAAATTGGCTCACCATATGCAGCACAATGCAGTCGGGTAGCGAAAGGTTGTATATCATTTACACGATTCAATTTATATAATATTATAATAGTACGTCACGACGGTGCATAAATTATAATTATATTTACACACAGAGAAACGACCGTCACTCCTGGAGGTGCAGTTTCATCGAATCGCATGCGTGCACAAACGCGCAAAGGTGTTTTGTGCGTTAACGAGGTGAGGGGGAAGAGAGATTGCTCAGTGATCAGTGATACCGAAATGTTTCCAACAACCTTTTCACAATTGCGGCGCAGCATTGTATCTACCGTGCAACCCTAACCGACCATGATACAATTGGGGAGTGTTTTTTTTATTTTTTTTTTATTAGTATTATTTTCGAGTAGGACATCTCATTTGTCACTGTAGTTTCGCTGAATACACACTCTTGTACTGCAGTAACTAGTTTAGAGCATAAAATTCACAGTACCACCCTTTATAGAATGCATATTATATACCTCGCCATCACCGAAACGTATACATCGCACAGTTGGTCTCCTCTCTACAGTTATAATAATATTAATAATAAAGATAATAATAAGAATAAAAAACCATGTACTTATGACTAAATATATATTATTTGAATTTAGCATTACGTGAAACGAATTTATCATTTTTTTTTAATTAATTAGTTTAATCACGGTAAAAATATGTGTTTAAATATAAATATGGTGTCTAGTTATAACTATTAATAATAATAATA